TTAGCTGTCCAGTAGAACGACCTGACGATCTGATGGAAATTCTGGAATCCTAATGCCCGCAACCTAAATCCGAAACCCCATCACTCAGGCTAATAAATACATTGGACGATATCGAATAAATTCAAATTGACTAGAAACTTTCAAACTGTATGCGCAATTACAATTTTGTAACGCAAAGGGGTTTTAAGCCGATACCTTTATATACGTCTAAGGGGTACTCTATATTCCACCACAAACCCTACTCAACTATTATGCTAATAAATATATTCTTGATGAAGATAAAAACTAACCTCGTTTATTGGGTCAGTGGGGTATTCTTTATTCTGCCACAAACCTACACTCAAACTGTCACGCTAATAAATACATTCTTTAGGCAGATAAAAACTAAACTCGTTTGGTGGGTCTGTGTGGTATTCTATATTTCTCCACAAACCTACACTCAACCTAACACGCTAATAAATACATTCTTTAGGAAGATAAAAACTAACCTCGTTTGTTGGGTCTGTGCGGTATTCTATATTTTTCCAAAACCTACACTCAACTATCACGCTAATAAAAACATTCTTGATGAGGATAAAAGCTAACCTCGTTTGGTGGGTCTTAGGGGTACTCTATATTCTGCCACAAACCTACACTCAAACTATCACGCTAATAAATACATTCTTGATGAAGATAAAAACTAACCTCGTTTGGTGTGTCTTAGGGGTACTTTATATTCTGCCACAAACCTACACTTAACCTATCACGCTAATAAATACATTCTTTAGGAAGATAAAAACTAACATCCTTTGTTGGGTTTGACGGGTACTCTATATTCCACCACAAACCTACACTCAACTATCACGCTAATAAAAACATTCTTGATGAGGATAAAATCTAACCTCGTTTGGTGGGTCTGTGGGGTACGCTATATTCCATCACAAACCTTCACTCAACTGTCACGCTAATAAATACATTCTTGATGAAGATAAAACCTAACCTCGTTTGTTGGGTCTGGAGATACTCTATATTCCACTACAAACCTACACTCAGCCTATCACGCTAATAAATACATTCTTTAGGAAGATAAAAACTAACATCGTTTGTTGGGTTTGACGGGTACGCTATATTCCATCACAAACCTTCACTCAACTGTCACGCTAATAAATACATTCTTGATGAAGATAAAACCTAACCTCGTTTGTTGGGTCTGGGGGTACTCTATATTCCACCACAAACCTACACTCAACCATGACGCTAATAAATACAGTGTTGATGAAGATAAAAACTAACCTCATTTGGTAGGTGTTAGGAGTACTTTACATTCTGCGACAATCCTACATACAACCTATCACGCTAATAAATAAATTCTTTAGGAAAATGCAAACTAACCTCGTTTGTTGGGTCTGTGAGTACTCTATATTCTGCCACCAACCTACACTCAGCCTATCACGCTAATAAATACATTCTTTAGGAAGATAAAAACTAACATCGTTTGTGGGTCTGAGTGGTATTCTATATTTCGCCACAAACCTACCCATTTACATGGGTATCGTTACATGGGTACATCGTTTTGTTTATTATTTTGTGATAGTGTTCATCTTGTCTTTATTGTGTGTTTCGGTTTGTATTTTTTTCTGTTTAGTCAGTGGTACTGGTTTTAGTCCGTCACGCAATTTAGAGCATTTTGTGTCAGTGGGGGTGGTTTGAGCCTGCCAGTATGATTTTATTGGTCGCTGCATAAGTTGAATTGTAATTTATTGTCAATTTTAGTAATTGTTAAGTCTAGGAAATTTATACTGTTATTGTTTTCTATTTGCAACATAAATTGTTTTTGTGTATGAATTCAGATCTGCAGTGGTTTATATTGTTGACATCTACTACGGCCAATAAGTCATCAACGTATCTGCTGTCTGTGTGATGTGTTTTGCCATACTTTCGAGGAAATATTTTTCTTCGAAGTTTTCCTATGGCTCAAGTTTGGCTACCCATTCCATTTCTGGTCTTATTGTCAGTTTGTGTATGCTCGTTGAAGCAAAAGATTGTCCTGTCGTAGTGTAATGTTAGATGATAAAAATATCCTGGATTGGTTATTTATGACAATTCGATTTATTGAAATTTTTTTATTGTTTTAAATATTTTATGGCACTGGCCAGAGAAGGATCTGCGAGACCTTGTCTCTACTCAAAATTCCCTTGTATTCTGGTATGCTAGATATCATCAGGTTTTGGCGATTTTGGATGCATTCACTGACTAATTTTGATGTGATTTTTTTACAGGCTAATGCTTTAATAGCTTCTTGGTTATCTGATCTTATGATTCTTTTAAGATTTTAAGGAATCACTTTTAAGATTTTCTAACGCACAAGCCTTAATATCATGTATTTTTGCTTGAAAAACCTAAGTGTACATCCCTAATGAGTTTGATTGCTCATATCTTGGGCGTGTGCAAAAAATACCCGGTCCGGTTCGTTCGATTGTTTTGGAGCCATCTGCATAGCATATCGTCGTGTCTAATGCTCTCGTGAGTTCTTGCTCTCCTTTACTGTCCATTGAGACAATATTTCAATGGGTACTCAATATTCCGCCATCAGAATTCTCACGCTGCTTATTCACGCCAATAAATACATTAACTCTCAACACACGCACACAAAACTATCAGTATTATATATAATCTTCTAAAAATCGGAACGGGGCACCAAGATACTCGCAGCCGTGCTCAAGCACAATTCTCATAGTTCTTCCTACACGCTCTCTATAGAGAGCCAAGGAGTCACACCCTTCAATTAGGTGAGACACATCGACCTTTCTCTACATGTCGGATTCATACGAGGGCTTTGGGCCGTTGTATGCCCATGTTGTGTAGATGTTTTCTCAGATGCCAGTGACTAGTTAGAAGTCCTATCACTCCTCTTAGTTTAGCTGTCTCCACTTGCAGCAGTGATTTTGCTCGTTTTGGTGTAGGTTGTTTCATCATAAGTTTATTGAGTTTTATCTCCTTTTGTTTTATTTGGGTCCATTCTGCGATGGAGGATTCTGATTTGTTTTTCTTATCCCAAGGTTCACCCAAGTATGGTCTTGCAGATCCTGCTCTGACAAGTGTGTCTGCTTTTTCGTTACCCAAAATTCCTTTGTGCCCGGCACCCGAGATATCATCAGGTTGTTGTGTTTCCTCAGGTTTTGGAGATTTTGGATGCACTGACTAGTGAATAGCATAGTTAAAGGAATAGTTTTTTTTTTTTTTTTTTTTTTTGACTGGGGCTTCCGACATCTAGGTCATTTCAGTCCCCAACAATGTCTCTATTCTATTTACCCTTTCAAACACTACATTCATACACATAAATACATCCATACAATACACTCTTTCCGTTTGGTCGGTGGAGTATTTGATATTCCTCCACCGACCCTATATTCAAACTAATCTAGATTGGGGTCGATGGAGTACTTTTATAAATATTCCGCCATCGACCCTGAACACATACTCTTACGCTCTCATCGTTCGAGGCGTGATGTTGATGTTATATTTCACCCTCACCCCTCGCCATTCACGCTAATAAATATATGCACTCAGACAAAACATATAGACACACAACACATAAGACATATTATATACAATAAAAAAACCCAATTTCCCCTAAAAAACGGAACAGGGGACTCTGAAACTCGCTACCGTGCTCGAGAACTCTTCTTAAGTCCGGCGGCATGCCTACACGCTCTCTGTATGGAGCCAAGGCATAACACGCCTCTATTATGTGGGACACATCGAGCAACCTTTCTCTGCCAAAGCCCGCGCAGGTGCCCATGTGTCAACCGCGTATGGCCAATCCTCAGTCGGGTGAGGACGATCCCTCGTCTCCTGCTCAGATTCTCTGAGGGCCATCTACCGGTCGTGCTCTTGACTCGCAAGAGCCTCTCCGACGACCCCGCCCACTGACGCTGCCATCTTTCTTTTATCATATTTTTAACTGCGTGTTTAGCGTCGAGGGCCTGATCGCGATGGTCCGATGGTAGGATGGTACCTTTCGCCACNTCGAATCCCGCTCGTGCCATTGACTTTTTTATCTCAACTAAAAACCTTAATTAATTGTAATATATTAATTGGTCAAGCGGACCACGAAATTAGTGAATTGTTCATATATTTAAAAAAAAAAAATAAGTAACTCGTAAAATAGTACAAATTTTGTTTTGTTCGACAGAAAAACCTTTTAACATAAATCATATTTATTACAGCCAAAAGCTTATTTGTTCTAATTTATTTCTGTCTAATCGCCAACACTTTTGTCAATTTAATTGGTAAAAGAAACGATTTAGCCAATGCGAAAATTTCCCGGCCAAAAAAAGTAAGATGAGGGATTATGCCTCTTCATACAGCGATTCGAAAATCAATAGTTGCTTTACATGAACTTTGATGTAATATAAAATCAGTGTCTGTAGTGCCTGACCTACTTCTTTTCGCTTGGCCAGACGCCAATAGAGAAATTATTTGCGTTGGAGCACAATTTCGAAAGATAAAATTTACTGATGAACACCGCCGTGTTTCGGTGGAAACAGTTTATTATTTAAACAATGACACGTTCGCTTCAATTAACCGAGAAAATCTAAAGGTCGTTATTGACATGAAATCTATAATTTAATATCATTTATTTAATAATTGATCAATAACTGACGGCTTGTATTGTCAAAGTCAAAAAGCGCGCTGGTTGAGGAGTCGGCCTGTTACTAGGACAATCTAACGATAATTAAAAATGCTCCGATCAAAGAAGTTCGCGATTAAGTAAGCAATAACGTGGGCTTTGATTGGTCGATTGATTTTTAATAGAGGCGAGAGTGTTAATTAAATCGATGTCATTACTGTTCCTTTGTACATTTTACAATAAATATTTTTTTTAATAATGCACAAATGAATTTTGTAATTTTTATTATGTACTTATTATTTTATAAAGAACGTTTGTAAGGATTTTTTTTCCCAGCCGGCTTGCGAGGTAGAAAATAAATTATAAGGAATGTGTCTTGACTACTCACCAAGCGTGCCTGGCAGGTACGGACAGCTTGTGACATGATTGAAGTTCTGCGACTGCATGTCCTCTTGGTCAGTCTCCCTGTGGTAGAAATAGTTGAAATTCGAGACAATGACAGGTACGGGGAGGGCAATCGTGAGTACACCTGCAATCGCGCACAGCGACCCGACAATCTTTCCCCAGACACCCACAGGTCTGAAATGAGAGGGAAACTGTCAGAAATGTCGGACGGTATGTCGAAATACATATCAGGCCAAAGCGACAACATATCAAAACATGCCATGCACGTGCAACACCAAAATTGGACGCTTTTCGGGACGGTGAGGTGGGGGCGGGTGGTCGGCTCTGCATCACAATAACCAAATTAAATTTTTTTTTGTCTATGCGTTTAGACTCAAGCACTCTACTGACAAAGGTTACTCGAACTTTTAAGGAAGAAGCTTGAAATAACTAAAACGAGTAATAAAAATAGGTACTAACTGGGTTACATGTGCAGGTGTGAGAAGCTGAACAGTGAAAGCAATGAATGTGAGAATGAGCCACGTCCAACACACGTCCACACTGTAGTTTGAGAAAATTCTTTGTTCTCTGTTTGAGAGAGTTTTATTTTGAGAAAAAAAACAACTGAAGTGAAGACGAGCGGTTGCCATTGGATAGATAGAGAGTAATATATATATACATATACATATGTATATACGGGCTCAAGCAAAACATTTCATATCACCGGCTTACAACATCGAAGAAAAAGAAAATAGAAAGACATAGAAATAGAAATACACAGATTTGGGAATAAAGACAGATACAGAGTAAGAGTGAGAGAAGAAAAGGGTTAAAAGGGAGAGAAAGAGAGAACACGCATGAGGCCCGACCTTGCCATCATCATCATCAATAGAGGTAACACATAATACAACATAGAGCTGGTACTATCATGGGTATAAGGTACAATGCATTCTGCAAGCTTCCCTTTCCGACCCAAACACTATAAAATACTTAAGAACATTTCCATGCACTTACAGCACATAATTATGTTATTTTACACAGAAGATATAATTTAAATTTTTGGTCCAGCGGACAATCACACACCGTATAACCACGAAGTGCCGTCGGATTAATTGGGAATGCATTGTTCATGGCGGTTTCAAGATCCGTCGACCGGTGAGCGCACGTTTGATGTAAGCCGTTATCGTTCGCCAAAAACGCGTTTTGATTAAGGATTTTTCAAGGGGCTCGCGGTTTTTGAAAAAACAAAGAATTTTCTTCAACATCCATTCTTGTGTTAGAGTCTGTGGGCGGCCTAGGGCTCGCCTAGTGATCCAAGCTAAGTGAGACAACTACGCGAGTGACAACCAGGGCTAGATAATAATAATAGTAATAATAAATATCACTGCAATCCAAACTAAGGGGTGAGTTGTCAAAAATAAATAAAAAAATAATAAAAGGTAATAAATAACGGTACATGACATTATAATAAAATGGGATGCAAAATATGTAACTCTTTTCTCATATAAAACTCTTTAACGTAAAAACTAAACTGATAAAAAAAGAAAAAGAAAAGAAAACCAAAAAATTCTAAACTGAAAACAAAAACAAATAGAAAACTGGTAGAGAAAACCAAAACGGAAAAAGGGCAAACTAAATTCGTTAATTGAAATAGAGTACATCATACGTCATGTCCCCATATCCCACGGTTGTCATTGTCACAACGGCCCACCAGAACGCGTCAGGGATTGACTTGAAGAATGAATTTTCCGAGCCGGCTTCCGCAAAGTAGACGGCGCTTGAGAATAGCACCACACCTGAAAGAATGTTGCGTGATAAGTTACCTCATGTCACCATATCCGACAGTTGTCATTGTGACGACGGCCCACCAGAAGGCGTCTGGGATCGACTTGAAGAAGGACAGTTCTGAGCCCGCCTCGGCAAAGTAGACGGCGCTTGAGAAGAGTATCACTCCTGCAACACGCTACCCAATGCAGAACTATCCCCATACTTTAATATCAATCAATTATTTAATTTAAATCAATCTGAAAGTTTCTGGATTGAGCAGAAAATAATGAGTGGATAAAATGAAAATGAGAAGTGCATCAGAGAACGAAAGCAGTTTGTCAGTTGTAGCTTTTAAAAAAATCTATATATAAAAAACACTAAAATAAATTGTTTAAAGCTTATTGTAATTTAATATTCATGATGGGAAAATTAAGTGGAAAAATAGGCTGTCTGATATTACTCGATACTTTTGGTTATTAAAAAAAAAAATCGAAACTTGAAACAATTTATTCTTTAATGTTGATGGATCCATATGCTGATCTGGTACTGGGTCTGACCAAAATCACGGGTTTTCAATGTCACTTTTCATCATCTTCAGTGAGGTTCCTCTACAGTTCCTTATTAAAGATGGCGCAAAAGCCAATCGAGCATCCGTATACTTAGACGGACCCAGTGCCAGTTCAAAAATTTCTCGAAACTTGAAACAATTTATTTTCTAAAGCTGATGGTTTTAGGTATGCTGATCTGGTACTGGGTCCGACCACAATCGCAGGTTTTCAATGTCACTTTTCATCATCTTCAGTGAGGTTCCTCTACAGTTCCTTATTAAAGATGGCGCAAAAGCCAATCGACCATCCGCATGCTTAGACGGACCCAGTGCCAGTTCAAAAATTCCTCGAAACTTGAAACAATTTATTCTTTAAAGCTGATGGCTGTAGGTATGCTGATCTGGTACTAGGTCCGACCAAAATCACGGGTTTTCAATGTCACTTTTCATCATCTTCAGTGAGGTTCCTCCTCAGTTCCCTATTAAAGATGGCGCAAAAGCCAATCGAGCATCCGTATACTTAGACGGACCCAGTGCCAGTTCAAAAATTCCTCGAAACTTGAAACAATTTATTCTTTAAAACTGATGGTTGTAGGTATGCTGATCTCGTACTGGGTCCGAACAAAATCACGGGTTTTCAATGTCACTTTTCATCATCTTCAGTGAGGTTCCTCTTCAGCTCCTTATTAAAGATGGCGCAAAGGCTAAACAGGCTCCCGCGGGTTTAGACGGACCCAGTGCCAGTTCAATAATTTTTTTTACTACTTTCTTCCACACAAATTAAATTTTTCTGGCTTTTATTAACCCAGGGCAAAACGTATATTTATTTATTTACACTTTAAAATTATTTTAATTTATTATTTTCTACTTGGAACTTTAATTTACTTATTCTGCTAAATAGGACGCCGGACTCGTCCAAGTGAAACTCTGGTTTACAATGAACTGTTAAAAATTAAGAACTTTTATTCATCTACCCTCAAAAAGTAACTTGTGAAAGAAGAAATCAAATTGATTAAAAATGATAAATTTAACCTTAAATAATAAATGATAAGCGTTAAAAAGTCCATTTTCTTGTAGAAAAGTGGCCAGGATATGGAGTGAGTAAAAAATGACCGATTCGATAATAATATATTTATTATTTATTGTCTAATTGATTATGACCAAGATATGATACTGACACGAAAATTTTACACGTTCGGTTCTTAAATTTTCTTAATTGTTGCAAACGTAACAGTTTAATCAATATCTTAAGATCCCTATTCAGCATCCAGGTGTTTCTGCTGACAGGCCAATACAATGTCTTCTTTTCAATGCTAGAAATGATTAATTTAATATTAAAAGATAATATTTTTATATCGAAATGGTATTTTACTCACACCAATAAACCTACATTAAGCGCTTCATATGTTAAAAAAAGCTTAAATTGAAAATATTACTAAAAAAAGTTCAAAATTGTATTATGAATCGATTACTTAATTTAATTTTTTTTAAGGTTTTTGTTAATTATTAAAATAGATTGCTCTTTTGTAAGACTTTGTAGTTTTATTATTTCTTCAATATGGCCAAATTCCTCTGAAAATTATAACTTTCTAGGCAGCCTGTCTCTTCTTCAGTATATAAAATTTTTTCTTTGAAAAAAATTTGAATTATTGAAAAAAAATTGTAAGATGAAGTGTATGTCTCAAATTATATAGTTTCCAGAAGAATTTGGTTGGTTGTGTTTAAAAAATAAAACTACAGAATTTTTCTGTTAGTATGTTTCAAAGTTGGCAGCTTATTGGGCATTTTTTCAGATTTTCAGTTGTCCATTTGAATATTAAATTGTTATTATTTATAATAAAACAGTCATATAATTGTTTTAAGTTTCGTAGTCCAATATAAAAGTGAAAATTAAAAAAACTAAATTTTAACTCTTCTGTCTAGTGGGTCAGGTGATTAGTTTATTGTTAATTTAACGCTAAAGTGCAATTTAGTGCCTGTGCTCAAAATAGCTCAAAAAGGACAAAATAATATTCAAAAATAAAACAATTTGTGCTTAGATGAAACAAAATCATACAATATAAGGTACAGTATTTATAAATTTTTATAAAAGAAAAGTTTTAATTAAAAGTTTATAAGGATTAAAGATTAAATCTGGCATCTTTTGCTTTATCTAAAAAATCGAAAAAAAGAAGTCCCATTTCCATAAAAACCACGTAATTAACTGTTATGTGTGGTATTTAGTGACCTTTACTTGATGATTATTTGGAGGTCGTTAGATGCGGTCTGGTGTGATGTAGGTTTTAGAAAAACATTTTCTTTATCGTGCCAACGTTTCGATCTTTATTTAAATCATCTTCAGAGCCTGGGATATTTATATATATAATTATAATAATTACATGATATAATTTTACCAATATTTTTTTCACATCCTACATTTGTAAAATTTAAACAATGTTTATAAATCCCAGGCACTGAAGATGATCTCAATAAAGATCGAAACGTTGCATGATAAAGAAAATGTTTTTTCTAAAACCTACGTCATACCAGACCGCATCTCACGACCTCCGAATAATCATTAACTGTTTTATTGGGTTATTGGCGAAACTTTAAGCCAATGAATACATTAAAGAGCGGCGGTTAATCAATGTTTTTTGTCGCAGGGTAAAGCGCTAAAGCGACAAATTAAACGGCAATTAACACACCCCCTCACTTAAATTGCATGAGTTGCATAACGTTTTCTTCAAATGAGGCCTAATTGAGATTGTTTGGTTTCTTTGGGGTAAAGGGTTGGTTTTTTTTATTCCTTCTATAATTTAGGAAAAAAACTTAAATAAACCGAAAGAAATACGTTGCGTCTTATCCATACTTTTGTACCGGAATACTCTGTCTTTATGTGAGAAAGTCTGCAATTATTGGCCAATTATAAATAAATTTGGATCGAATTTCATTCCACCGGCTTTGACTAACGCGGGGAATAAATAATCTGTAAAATTGTGTTAAAACATTTATTGAGGCGTTAAGGTCGCATAATGAACCGTGACATCTCAGCTGGGCAACGTCGACGTGACAGTTTACGATTGTACGCCCTGCCACAAAAACTCTTAATTTCCGCCTCGTCCAGATTGGCAAAGGGTCTGGAATAGAAATAATATTCCTTTCACCTCTATAACTCTCCCCTTGATAAGAAATAGGACAACATTTTGTAAAAGTTTTATTTTTATTTCACTCAGAAGTTATTTAAAACTCTCCACGGATCAAATTTGATTAAAAACACGTAGAAAGTGAATTCCACGCAATAATGGTGCTAAAATTAAATATTTGTTTTGTTCATCATAAAAAAAGAGCAAAAGTAAATCTCAACTTATAATTGTAACCTGCCCTAATAAAAATTTGACTCAGAGATGATTTTCTGTCGTTAATCCTTCATCCTGGTGTTTATACTGTAGTTTGTACATAAATATTGTATATTTGAAGTATTTTGTGTATTTGTCTTGGTCATATTCCACAAATAAGCCAAGAATAGTAGGTGAAAAAAAATGAGCCAGGTGTTAGGAATATTGGGCAACTTTCCACCAAGAACCTTTACCATTTTGTCTTTTTTTCAGGTAAAATTGGAAAACAGAAAACGCCCAACGAATATTTATTTAATAATTGAACATTTTAAAAAGGGTTGCGATTGAAAATTTAACAGCGATAGGGCGTACAAAACACTTATAAACTTGAAAAAACCCCTTACTAAAATTTCTAACCCCCTTCCCCCACCAAAAAAAACAACATAAATATCATAATTTTATAACATTAATGTAAAAATAAATATTTATTACGAGAGTTCGCAACAGTGGTTATATGAACGCTCGGGGTTCCGAAGTTTTTGAAAAAAAAAGCCCATTGGTAAGTATATCGGGTTCGAATGCAGGGCCGCTGGATTCGAACCCGGGACCTTTACCTTACAGTGATGAGCGCCGTGTCAACGCCTCAACCATTGCGGCCACCGACGCCCCCCTAATATTTTTAAAATACTGATTATTTCAAAATTTTTCCCCCGATTAATTATAAAGCTGTTAAAAACGATGTTGAGAAAATATGCCAGAAATATTATATTTGTTAAACTATTTTCTAAGTCTTTTTGTATTTATGATAAATGGATGGAATGATATAAAAGCAAATTATTATGGAGCCATAACATAAAGTAAATATCCAGAAACTTTCAAAGTGAATCTCGTAGAACGATACCTCCCTCCTTCTACCGTACCTCAGCTTGGCTAGGATGCTTGAAAATTTTCTTTGATCTCTATCACTTTATTAGTATTTTTTTTCCAGAAAAAACAAAACAAAATCGTCAATGCCTTTTCATATCACAACTCGTTCCCATGCAAATTAGTTTTTGTGAAAATGTTCAAGCATTGCCATAATTATGTTTGATCCCAGACCATTTCTAACAGACGTAAAGCAATCATTCCACAGATTACAGGCTGCCTTTGAACAATTAGCCGTTGTAATCTATGGGAGGATCGTTTCTACTCTAAAAAAATAAAATTTATTATTTAAAAAGTTTAAAATTAACCCTAAACATTACTTATCGTCTTTTTAAATTTTTTAATAGAATCCTTCGACAAATTCCAGATATATACAAAAACTAAAGGGTTAAGTTTAAACTGTTGAAAATAAATGCATTATAAAAATAGTTATCTCTAATTTTTAGTGAATGTTAGAAAAATTCTTTTCAAGTAATTTTATATCATGGGCTAATTGCCACTATGCTACTTCTATTAATAAACTACTTTAAGATTTACTCTACTTTTTTATTTTGAAAAATAAACATTAACTTTATTGATATTTTAATTGTTCTTGTCAATACTACACTGCTAGGCTACTCGTTTTGCTTGATTGCTATAGGCCAAATTTGGCCATTTGATATTTTCTTTATCTCTTTTTATTATCGATTTACTTTATTGTAGCAAACTAACGTTCCATTACTTAATAGTTTAAGTATTAGAGATGATTATTTTATACAGACCTAATTTGTCTTAAAACGCTGAAAATAAGTCATTAGTCAGTTACAAACAAAACAATATTACCATGTACAAAAGTTGTAAAGCATTTTACATCTGTTTTAAAACGTTGGAAATTTTTACATTGTTTTACAACATTTATCAATGACCCCACTTAAAGATTTAGCTATATAGATTGCGGAAGTCTTTCTTGGAGATTAAATGAACCTGGGGGGTTAAAATTTGAAAAATTAATTTTTTTAAGGGTCACCTATTCGCAGCTCCAGCTGTGTTTTGAGAGTTTTTGTTCTGGACAAGGAGGTAAACTTATCATGTGAATTGTTAAGTTGTCATATGACAATAAAATTTTTAAATTAATCAGTTGATATTCATTCAATTCAAATTATATAAAAAATGGAAAATACATAGCAAAAATAAGTGAGAGTCTAATTATTCATCTTAATTTACAACCAATTCACCTATTTAGCCTTTTTTCTAAATATTTAATATTTTATTTTGATCTTGGATATTGAATCATTCAATATGATGTCAGAACCTTAATATATAAAGCTCATAGAAAGCCTTTACATTTTTAAAGAGTGAAAAAGAAATTTTCAAGCCATGAATGGCGTGAAGTTAGGTTTTCTTTTTCTCGGCAGCAAATTTTATCGGTTTTTAACTTTAATTTTCTTACCTAAATAACATAACATTTTTTCATGATAAAAATTGTTATCTTGTATATATAAATACATGTACTGAACGGTATGTTAGTCTATTAATGTAAGATTGATTTATATTTAGTGTTTTATTGTCTAAATTACTTATTTAAACTAATTAATCTTTTTATGTAAGGTTTTGGTCGAAATGAAAAAGTTAGTGTCACGAACGGGATTCGAACCCACGACTTTCGGCTCAATACGCCGCTGCTACCACTTGAGCTGGTGACTTCGATCTACTCGGGCACCAACTCCCCATTTCAACCTAGAGTTATTTAACATGATGTTTAGGTTTAGAACTTGCATGCGTTTGGAGCTGAAAGTTTACAAGAAATTCTACAATTTAGCAATAGTTTTGCTCAATATCGAACAATTTATTTTCTCTTGGATATTTTTTTGTTCAATATTCTGATGCCTGCCGCAATCTATAAAGCTCACAGACAGCCTTTGTATTTTTAAAGACTGAAAAGGAGGATTCGAGCCGGGAATGACGTAAAGTTTGATTTTCTTTTTCTCGGCAGCCAATTTTGTCCGTTTTCAATTTTAATTTTCTCACCCAGATAAATTCACTTTTTAATTAATTAATTTTTTTTAGAAGGTAAAACATTTTTCGTCATAAGACTTATCTTAAGACAATTTTTTCCCTGTTGAAATTATGGTTTGATATTTATTTAAAATCTTGTAATATCACAGGATAAAGTCACGTAAAGTTATCGATAAGAAAACCAAATTCTAGAACACATAAATTTAATAAATGTCAAAACCACATCAGAAAAGGGTTTGGTAAAGAGACCATTTTTGGTCTCAAAGTCTCTGGGAGCCAAGCTCCAGTTTTAAGTAGTTTTTGGTGGTTTTCTTTTATGTAAAAGTGTGAAATGTTTTGAGAGGTCTGATTTTTGGAATTTTAAATACTACTTGTTTAGTTTTATAAGGTAAAAGAATATTCCATGTAATGAACCATGTAAGAATATATTTTATTTAGATATATGTTTAGATGCTTAGGCTTAGGACTTGCATGCGTTTGGGGCTGGAATGACACGGGTGCAAAGCCGAAGATTAAGTTCGGCTGGCAGGATAAGACCGAGTTCCAACCCCGGACTCTTAACTACATCGGACTGGGTGATAACGCGATAATGGTGACCCGTGATTAAATTTTTGCCACATTGTTTATCGATTATTATTTAGCGAAGAATGTAATTTGTTTAGGCGTTTCCGAAGATCCTAGTGTGCCTATCCTTAGCTTATGATAGACAAAACCAGATGGACAAAGCGTTTGATCAGAAAACAACTAGACTAGAGGAAGAATCCTCAAAATATATACCTATTATAAAAGATATCGTTAAAGAAAGCAAATAAGCTGCTTAAAAGTGATCAAAAATTAAATTTCGCCCATTTCAGTGATTTAAAGATATTCAATTATATGGCAAATTATGAGTAGGAGGATAAATTGATAATTATCACGGCAGGATTGAACCAAATATGTGAAAAATTAATAAAATTGTGTATCTTCCCTGGGAGAACTTTGGCATAAGAGCGATCTCGCTCCGTTGTCAGATGAAAACGGATTGTCTCTAGATTCGTTGTGGCAATTCAAAATAATGTTTCTAGGAGTGAGAGAAGGGCATTAATTTATGTTTTTATTGTGTAATAAGGGTGGAGGCTGTCACCTGGCAGGCCAAGCATCCACGGTTTCCTGGGCAACGGGAGCATTGATTGGCTTCCGGCCTGGCCCGTGACGTCACCTTGCCACAACGTACTTGATATTGTCGCTCTCCCATTCACTCCCTATTTCTCATTGTTTCCTTTTCGTCCTTTCTCCCTATCGTTCTATCAATTTCTCCCCCGGGAACACCTCGCTACCGTTCAATCTCCGCGCAACCACCTCGCTCGAATCCACCCTTCGGTGATGGTAATGGTGAGGGGGACGGTCGTGGGGTCGTTGATGTAAAACCACCGGAAAGATCGGACAAGATCTTTCCGTTTAATTTCTATAAACTTATATAAATGGTAAAACAGAAATATTTAAATGAACGCACTTCACTTGTACACACGGAATACTCACCTATAAACAAGAAAAATATAAGCAACCCAAGTTCTCTCATCGAGGCTTTTAAAGTTCGCCCGAGGATCTGAAGTCCTTTCGAATGCCGCGATAACTTGAATATTCGAAACACTCTCACTAACCTAATCACTCTGAGAATTGCTAAAGACATTGCTTGGTTCGTACTTTTGTCTTGCGGGCTGACGGGGGCTTTCGGAATATTGGACGTGTCCTCTTCCTCGGCCACTACCGTCGCCAACGTGATGAAATACGGAATGATGGCGATGATATCTATGATGTTCATAACGTCGCGGAAGAAATTGAATTTGTTTGGGCAGGCGAGGAACCGAACCGACAACTCGAACGTAAACCATATAATACATATAGTCTCGATGAGGAAGAACGGATCTGTAATGTCCGGCACCTCGTCCTCTTCGATTTTGGTGCCGTTGGTCGTGGTGTTGAAGACCTTATAGTGCTTGAACTCGGGGAGGGTCTCCAGGCAGAAAATGACGATGGACAGGAGGATGACGAAGACGGAGATGATGGCGACCACCCTCGCTGCTTGCGAACTCTCCGGGTACTCAAACAGCAACCACACTTTCTTTTGGAACTCGTGGCTCGGGAGCGGCTTCTCCTCTTCTTTTATAAACCCTTCGTCCTCCCTGAAACGAAAATCAACAATAAGTACATAAATCTAAAGTTTCGTATCGCCTACAAATCAACTGATCGAAAAAGTGACAACTATAATAAATAGAAGCGACAAAACTGAAATGTTTGATTTTTAAGTAACGTTATTTTTGGAATACAGAAAATAAGCGTCTATTTCATTATTTTGAACTGGTAAAAAAAACAAAAAACATATTAGATGAAGTAGACACATTCAATTTATGCGTTTATCTCAATTATTGAGCTTTTAAACCATTACCCATCCCCCGTCATGTGATAACGGTTTAAAAATATACCTGAAAAATGTATAATCAGAAAATTATTGCAAATCCTTGGTAATCTCCAAGGTCCATTAGTATGTTCGGTCTTTTATTATTAATAATGTATTTTAATATGAGCATTTGTTTAAGGTTTTTAATTTTTTTCATTTTATGATGCCCATATTCGCCCAAGTATGTACGTAGCACATTGGGGGAAGGGAGACGGGCCAGAAATTTCAGGGGTGCCAATGGGAATCGAACCCACGACCACGGCGTCTACGAGCCGAACGTCTGACACGCTAACCGCTCGCCTAACGTTCCCCATGTCTATGTTTAATGCTTAAGAATTCGCATTTAAGCATTAACCATGAGATTAATAAGAAAGAAAGGGTTATTATTAAGAATCCAAGTACTCTAAACAATGATTTTTTTTAATGAGTGGTGTTTAGTGAACGTTAGTCAATGATGACGTGGTGTGATGCGGTCTGGTGTGACGTAGGTTTTAGAAAAAAAATTTCTTTATCGTGCCAACGTTTCGAACTTTATTGAGATCATCTTCAGTGCCTGGGATTTATATTGACATGTAATTACAATTATTACATGATATAATTTTACAAATATTTTTTTCACATACTACATTTGTAAAATTTAAACAACGTTTATAAATCCCAGGCCCTGAAGATGATCTCAATAAAGATCGAAACGTTGGCAGATAAAGAAATTTTTTTTAAACTTGAGAAATAACCTTGTAAGGAGTCGTGTCGTAATAACAACTCATTAACATTAAAAGTTTTCCACACTTTTGAATTGAAAAAGGTTTATGGGATTATCTCACATAAAAGAATGAGGCAGGCGGATTCAAAAGGGAGTTAAATCGGATCCCCCGGTGTTAAGAAGTTTGTATCAAATGTATTGCCGCAATGCGTAGCGTCGCCCAGGCCCTGGGCCCATCTTCAATCAGTCGCCTTTTTAAACAAGTCGATCGCTTTCGAAGTCCATTTAACTTGGATAATTACAAGCCCGAATAATCTTATACTTGAAAGGACAAATCGAGCTTACTAATTACGAACATCAATTCTATCGAAAACGCCCATCTTTGTCGAGATGAAATAATTGTACTTTTTTTTGTAAAAAGATAATAAGCAATCTTGGTGTGTTTTAAATTAAACAAAAAACGAAGTTATATCAAAATTGTAGGTTTAACATTGGTTTTTTTGAAGCAGAAATGACTTTACCTACCTGAATTACTTTCTTTTTACTTTACTTTACTTTTCTTCTCTAATATTTTCATGTATTTAAATAATATAAAGTATCATGAAATTACATCTTGTAATAGGGAAATGCAGAATAAATAATTGAATTTAATTTTTAAACAATGATCGGTAGTGTTCTATACCAAAAAACGAAGTTATTGAAAATTGTAGGTTTAACATTGGTTTTTGTGAAGTAGAAATGACTTTACCTACCTGGATTACTTTCTTTTTTCTTTACTTTTCTTCTCTCATATTATCATGTATTTAAATAATACATAATATCATCAAATTACATCTTGTAATAGGGAAATGCAGGATAAATAATTGAATTTAATTTTTGAACAATGATCAATAGTGTTCTATACCAAAAAACGAAGTTATATGAAAATTGTAGGTTTAACATTGGTTTTTATGAAGTAGAAATGACTTTACCTACCTGGATTACTTTCTTTTTACTTTACTTTTTTTCTCTCATATTATCATGTATTTAAATAATACAAAATATCATCATATTACTTCTTGTAATAGGGAAATGGAGAAAAAATTATAGAATTTAATCTTTAAATATTGATCACTAGTGGTTTAAAATAATTAATTAATTAATCATAATTATTAATGAATAAAAATTGATGAAAACGTTCTTCTTGATTAATAGCTAATTTTCTCTCCTCAAATCGTAATCTTGTTTTAGGCTTAAAATGGAACAATCAATAATTGCGTCAATATTTTTACAACTAAGTGCCATTTATGAACTTGAACTTAGTTTTCCTTTAGTAATTCGAAACTATTATGTGTTCTAGTTTGTATGTTTTAATCGATATGATAATTAATGAGTAATTACATCTATTATTATCATACACTGCCAATTTAAAAAAATAAAAAAATGACTAACTTTGGAAATGCTTATTTTTTCTGACATACAAGTCACAGACCTGCGCGAGGTCTTATTTTATAGACTATTTTACGCTTATCAACACGGCTTTTTTAAATTTAATGTAAACTGTAATGCTTCAGTCATTTATCAGTTAATTAAAAAATTCGGGAACGTGGTAATTTTTGCACTTTTTACGACAACTTCAAATTGAGCTGTGGAGCCAGGGCATCATCCCGGGAGAGGGGCCTTAAAACAATCGATAGGAGATTTTAATGAGCTTTCAATTGGTCACCACTTTGCCCTATTTCTCGATAGTTTTAGAGTTATTCGCGATTTTTGGACAAAAAAATCTAGTTTTTTACGAGCTCATGGAAAAATCCGATCACCGGAGCCTTAAAAGGCTGAGAAAATATTCATTTTCAAAGTTGGCCATTTTTTCGTAAAAAAAACAGGGCGGTCGGTTTTTTTTGGGCAGTGTATTTACAATGTACTAGAATTATTTTTCTAAATATAATTGTTATTTTGTTTCAAAAATTATTATAATTATACGAGAATGAATGAATGACAATGGAAATTTCTTTGTGTATTGTTGAATATTTTTCCTTATCTAAATGCAACATTAAGTCGAATAGGTTTTTAAGTAATTTTCGACCTATAAAAAGAATATCTTTTCAGTAAGCAATCAATATTTGCTGAAGGCATTTACGTCTAGAAGGGTTGAGAAATTGGATACGAGAATATTTTCCAATAGCCCAGAAGATCTCCATAACGGGGATCGTGGAAAATGCTTCATTTTATTAACAAAATCACTTAACTATTAAACTAGGGTCATGCTTCTCGGAGATGTCACAACAGACATAATAAAAGGGACTCTGAAATACCGTTTATTGGCTTCCAAGCCGTCCTTTGAGCTTCCCAAAGGAAATTATTGAAGACGGGGTAAAGACCGATTCCTCAGATATTGGAATTCGCTATCATCATCCGGCGGCCGATACGATGCTTTTATAAGAGGGTTCAAACCCGAAGAAATGATAATAGGAAAGGACCGACGGATCCGAGGACATAAGAATCACCAACAGTCATCTATATTTCCTTAAAAAATTAAATCTAAGTCAATTTAAAAAAAAATCATGCTGAACCGGCTCTATGTCACTTATTGGGTCAATCTTCACTTGCGGGTTTGAATGACCCTGTTCAGGTTCAGCATGAGTTCGACTCGCAGACTAACATACAACATCAACCCAAACAATATTATTACTGAAATTTACAAAACTTCGGACTTTCACTACTATCGGAATTTTGAGTGAATATTTGTCATAAGTGTTGGTTGAGATGAAAAAAGTTACTGTCACGCTTGAGCTATCGTGACTAGCTATCAAGTGGTTTGAGCAGCGGCGTATTGAGCCGAAGGTCGTAGGTTCGAATCCTGTTCGTAGCACTAACTTTTTCATTTCAACCAATACCTAACATAAAGATTAATTAATTGAAAGAAGTTATTTGGTCAATCGGACTACAAAATATAATAGATTTGTCATAAGATTAAATAATTGCAAAACGTATATGGTTTTATTTTGTCGAGTTTTACATATATTTATTGAACGAATAGATTTAGTAATTTTAAAATTAGTTCATTTTATTGTTTTATTTCCATGATAAAAAGCAGACCGGCGTTGGTTACAAGATACTAGACAGGGAGAATCTTTCCCTTGATCAGATATGATTTTAAATAAAACATTCGTTCTTTTCCCTTGAAACTAGATAAAAAATATCAAACTAAAATTAATGTGGAAGTCATATTGTCTCTATAATAGCAATTTTGAAGAGATTTTAGACTTTTAAATTAGGAAACCAAGTTCAAGGTTGGCTATCGAGAGTACCTTCTTTGCAATGAAATAAAACAAGATCTAAGGAGAAGACATCACGAAATTTGAGAGACAATTAAAATAAAGGAAATGGCTATAAAGGAACCCGACAAAATGACCTGACTTTTATAGACGCTTCCAGGTGGTAATAGATAACACATTTTTGGAAGAAAATCAGTCCAGCCCGAAGTATCAGGAAGGAGTTTTAATATGGGATGTCCCATACACCGATGGATCAAAGATGAAAAAGAGAGTAGATGTTGGGGTAAAAATAGCGAATAATTAAAACCCAATGGACTGGTTTAAACTATCTTCCAATGTGAGGTCTATCTAATTCAGTTCTTTGGAAGGAACATAACGGACGATCAGGTTTACCAACTGCGCAAAAGTTTAGCTCCAAACTAACCTGTGGGTGCCTAAGTTGTGATGGGTTGTCTTGGGAGTTGTTCTGGGACTTAAAGGTATGGAAGGAACAGCCAAAGAAGAACGTCCTCCCTCTCATGGAACCGGAACTATAACTAACCACAGCAAAAATACGCTAAATGCGAAGCTGAAAAAATCCTCAAACGCCAGGCATGAGTTAGATAAAAGATTCGTAAATTTACAAAATGAAAGGCAAGGAACTCCTCTCTCTCCCTTAGCAGGTTTGCTTTAGAAAATTATAGGCCACAGGCCACTGCCATCTACGGAAGATAGGTAAAGCAGCGACAGAAACATGCTACGTCAAGAAAAAACTGGTTATTCTTTTGAAGTAAAGCAGTTTGTATACGTTACGGCCACTTCGTTATGGCTATCTTTACACCAGATAAATGCTTGAAGAAGCACCGAGGAAAATGCTTAGATTGGTGGGAAAAACCTTTCACAGTATGGTCTTAATCATAGGGTTCCATTTAAGTCCTATAGGTTGCATTGAAATAAAGGTTGGAGTCTATACTTGGTCCCGCCACCAAGTTGTGTAGTTATGTGGTGTGACCTTATGCTTAAAGTTCAAATTAGTAAAAAAAGTATGGTTCAGTTTTCACAGCAATCATCTATAGATTATCTATCATTAAGGGTAGGAAAAGGAAGTCATTCTAGTAGTTTCATAAACTTTCGATTTAAGAAGAAAGGACTAACTTGTCTTAGAACTTTTATATTAAAAATCAATTTAGTCATTTGAAGTGTAATGATTTTCGGATCGATTGGAAAAGCGTTTTTAATGTGAAATAAATGGAAGAGGGTGAGCGAGGAGCGTGTAACCCTGCAGAAGGGAACACCACGTGGTTTGCTTAGTTGATCTTGATTGTGCTTTTCTGGGTTATTAGTAAATGGAAGGGTAGGCCGGCCGGGTGTATCTTTTGGGTTAAGAGGTTTCTAAGATTGTGAGGGGCCCTTTGTCGGAATCATCGGGAGGAAGGGGGTCAGAGCGACAGTGGTAGAAAGGGATGGGGGATGGGGAAAGAGCGAGAGCCACAGGGTACGGGAGGGTGGATGGAGAGGAAGCCGGAGGGCGAGAGTGTGAGTGAGAGGGTTGTATCTGACTGGGTGGGGCAGGATCAATACCGGCCTGGAGAGAGAGTGAGAGAGAGGCCGAAGAGCCGCTTCCAAGCCCCATTCGGCCACACTCACTTACACGGGCATACAATTATTATACGCCCTCACGTATATTCTTCTAATGCGACCTTTCACATCAACCGTAATAAACATCTTTGACCAAAAAACTCATACAGGGGAGGAAATGCCGCTCCTCCCAAATTTACACGACGCTCTTGAACTTGACCTACTCTTCAAATTTCCCTTGAATAAATAATATATGTTAATAGGGGTGTGGCTAACTGCCCTCGTGAGATTTAAAGCCCGGGTGCAATTTTTAATCGTGATTTACAAAAGAAACGCTCATCACGATGAAATCAAGTTGTGGAATGTTCCACGAGCAAGCATTTTAGCCTTAGACATCAGCATTTATTCAATATGAAAAAAAAAAACTTTTAAAATAAGTTTTTTTAAGGATTTCCTCAATCACAACTGTAACTTTTAAGACAGCTCATTTTGAATATTCATAGTCAGGATGTAACGAAAACCAATTTCAGTAAGCCATGAAGTTGTACCAAACGGGTCGAACATACACATCACCGATAATCCGCGATTGTTTTTGACCTTTTTTTCAGTGTTTTTCAACTTTTCACCTACTCTGCATCCTGCTCTAAATGCAAATTTTGATTATTCATGAACTTTCTACATTTGAGGTTACCTCCCCGTTCAAAAAAGATAAGTGTTCGATGTCAGCAGTTAGGCTTCCTTACTAAACAAAAAAATCCCGTTTGTACACTTTACAATAATTCATTTGTAATCGTGCTTTCAGGCAAAACATTCTTACATAAATCCCTGTTCTTATATTATTTTATATCACTGATTTTTTTAAGAATACATCATACAAAGTGAGTGAATCCCCATTGCAAATTTTGTTCTATCGATCAATTTTTCAAATCTATATTAAAAAAAATCCTTGGCCTTTTTTATAACGAGGCAGAAATCACGAGATACTAACATTAACAGTAAACTGTTTTTTTATATTTAAAACCCTTGAACATTAGCGTTTTCGAAACGAATTGAGAACCAAAAAGAAAATGTAGCATAAATGTCAATTACAAATAAATAAAACATAAACTTTACCTATGGAAAATAAAGAATAATTAATTAACGTGACATAAAAATATGCAGTACACTGCTAGCTAAATTAAAACGCACAACTATTTTTCACTTTTGACAAAAGCAACCAGGAGAAAAATTATTTTCAATTGTAATCAAAGCATTTCAATTCTGATGGGTTCAATTTTTAAACAGCAACTAATGTCTATACTGCATCAGTACTATGCAGTACTATACTGCAGCAAATTTACAGATGGGACTTTTAATTTGAAAAAAAAAAAAAGTAGCCACTATAATAGGTCAGCCAATACAGTTAATATACTAGACTTTAATGGTCCCGACATACTTACAAATTCAATTAATTAAGGTTTTAAGTTGAGATAAAAAAATCAGGGTCACGAGCGGGATTCGAATATTGAATAATGGCAAAAAGGAGGGAAAATTCAAAAGGTGGGATTGAGATGGGAAGTTGGCTTTCGAGTGGATCGAGGTCACGATAGCTCAAGTGGTAGAGCAGCGGCGTATTTAGCCGAAGGTCGTGGGTTCGAATTCCGCTCGTGACACTGACTTTTTTATCTCAACTTAAAACCTTAATTAACTGAAAGATATTAATTGCTCATGCGGACCACGAAAAATAGTGAATTTATACTTACAAATATTTTCAAAAATACCGCCTCTCAGAGGGTTCACATAACCTCGTATTTGAAGTACCCTCGTAAAAAAACAGACTTGAAATGTTTCGTGCTATTGACTTAAATCCAATTGAGAACAATGCCGCCGGATTATAGAAAAAGTGGCAAAGACACCAAAAATTGTCACAAAACTTGAGTTCTTACAAAATTCTCTGTTCGCATTAGTGCACTTATTGGGTCTGGGCTAAAGAATGGTTTTGTTTAATTTGTTTTCAGTCATTATCAATCATTGGTTGAACTTTGAAGACAAGAACGTTCCCCCCAAATGAGATTCCCACAGCAAGAACAAAGCTTTCAGCTTTGGATTTGGAAAGAAAAACCGCTGATGGCTATTTGAGCTTATTTCTCAGAAACCTGTTACAAAATCTTCACCACCGCTAAATCGGTTCTAAGGAAAGTTTATAGTTTGCTCATCGCTTACGGAAACGATTTAAAAATACCTCCACTTTGCACAGGTTTATTTCTTCATGGAATCCACCGCACCTTGTTTCTAGCCAAAAGGCAGAATCGTGGCGGAGGTGAACACTTATGTAACTTTTATGTAGAGGACAGGATGTGCACGCACTCATCCACATACTCAACAAAGATAGGGGGAGCAAAGGACCAATAGCTCCGCGATGCTCCAGAGCGCATCCAACTTTGTCTCCCATCACCGATACACCACATACTGAATAATAATTATTGAATGAAGTGAAATATCAAATCCATTATATTTTGTGGTCCGATTGGCCAAATAACTACTTTCAATTAGTTAACCTTTATGTAAGGTATTGGTTGAAATGAAAAAGTTAATGTCACGAGCGGGATTCGAACCCACGACCTTCGGGTCAATACGCCGCTGCTCTAACTACTTGAGCTATCGTGATTTCGTTCCACTCGGACACCAATGTCCCATCTCAACCTACCATTAAGTAATAAGTAAAATGAAGTATTTCACTAAAGCTCTCCGAGGCCATTTCATTTGTCTCCGAGAATCGTATCCTGATGACACGACATTTGAAAAATGGCAAAAAGGAGGGAAAAATTCGAAACGTAAGTTGAGATGGGACATTGGTGTCCGAGTGGAACGAAATCACGATAGCTCAAGTGGTTAGAGCAGCGGCGTATTGACCCGAAGGTCGTGGGTTCGAATCCCGCTCGTGACACTGGCTTTTTCATTTCAGCCAATACCTTACATAAAGATGAAATATCAAAATGGGCTATATGTTTATGCTGTATTAATAACTTTCAATCCAAGAATAACGCAAATTATTCAACACTGGTCAGGTTCGATCTGATGCTATATTATAATCTAATATTTAATTTTATTACTTGAGCTTATTTTATTAGTACAATAGAAATCCGTTTATCCGGACTTGAAGTGACAGGGACTTGTCTGGATGATCGTAAGTCCCGATAATCCGAAAATTTGTGATTTTATTAGTATCGTGTCATAAAAACGGGAAAAACACACTTTTATTCATATATCAGGTTAAATTTAAATTAATAGATAGTTTTTATTAGTTTTATTTTTGTTTAAGTTCGGACACGCGTTTCTCAAAATAATCGTAAAAAATGCCTAATAAAAAAACCTTTGTAGTGGAAACCAACATACACGACACAACAATTTCTAATTTTGTAAAAAAACTATACACCTTTTTTTATTTTTTTTATTTTTATTTTTTGTTTTTTATTTAATTAATTAATTTTTTTTAACAAAAACGTGATTGGCCTTTACGGATTTCGATTGATAATTAAAGGTCCCGTAGTGGAATTATGAATTAAAAAAAAATTAATATAAATACATTGAGTATTACGAAAAATTTATAAAAAATGTGATGTGTTCAGTGATCGTTAATTAATTATTATTTGAAGATCGTGTGACTATACCACTATACACTACTATACCAGATCTCACGATCTCCAAATAATTTATAAAAAAATATTTTAAACGGGTCCGGAAAAACGGTTTCTACTGCTCCATACTTGCTCTGAATTTATGTTATTTTTTAAAAAGTTTTAAATTTTTAATTAAATATTTTAATAAGTGTAGAAGACGATATATTACTCGTAAGCTTTGGTCTGATTGGCCTCATCTCTGATAGTTTCTTAATATGTAATAAAACCTTAACTAAACCCGCAAATTATCATTTCTGTTTTTGTTTAAATTAACGTATAAAGTAGAAAAATTCAACTTGACCTGAATTTGTTGGTAGCTACTTCGCCAAGTTCGTAGAACTTGATTTCTTCTGAGAAGACGTCGAGCGGTACGTTGACCGGCCTCCGCAGCCTTCCTCCGCTTTGGTAGTAGTAAAGGATGGCGTCGAAGCTCGGTCGATTCCTATCGAAGAAGTACTCGTTCCTGAGGGGGTCGAAGTATCGTATCCTCCTGGAAGGGTCGCCTAAGAGCGTGTCCGGGAATTGATTCAACGTCCGTAATTGCGTTTCGAACCTTAACCCGCTCACCTGAAAGTAAACAAGACGTGTTAATGACAATAAATATGTTAGGCACCGCCGAGTATGTAACATTGTCGAAGAATATAATAATGACGGTTGGGGAGTAAATAGAAGCTCGAAACTCAAACATACGCGTAATAACAAAGGCGAATATGGCGAGACGCAGACTTTGATCAAACCGACTGCATAATGAACCAAATATTCCGACAATCAAAATTAAGCGTAATGTTGTTTTAATTTGTATTTAATTGTTTCGTGTTAATTTGTAAAAAGCCTTTTCTTTTAATGTATAAAATATATTATTGCCATACTAACGACCAGAGATTCTAAATTAAACCCACCCGAAACTCCATGAAAACAAGTCGTTACTTGTATTTAATTATTATGTAGCGGTTGTTTCAACCAATTGAAAAAAGGCAATAATAAGCAATTATAAATTTAAAATTAAATAATAAAATATTATTTTTAGTTCCATTAGATTTCGTGGTCCGATTGACTAAATAACCTCTTTCAACTAATTAATCTTTATGTAAGGTATTGGTTGAGATAAAAAAGTCAGTGTCATTAGCGGGATTCGAACCCACGACCTTCGGCTAAATACGCCGCTGCTCTACCACTTAAACTATCCACCCGGACACCAACTTCCCATCTCAACCCACCTTTTTGAATTTGGCCTCCTTTTTGGCATTTTTCAAATCCATTCAGGCGTATTTAGCCTAAGGTCGTGGGTTCGAATCCCGCTAGTGACACTGACTTTTTTATCTCAACCAATACCTTACATAAAGATTAATTATTTTTAGTAGAAGAATGGCAAAAAAAAGGGAAAATTCGAACGGTTGTAGGTTGAGATGGAGAGTTTTGTACGAGAGGAAAACCACAATAGTTCAAGTGGTAGAGCAGCGGCGTAATAAGCTGAAGGTCATGGTTCGAATCCCGTGACACTGACTTTTTTAACTTAACCTTAGAAAGAATAATTAACTGATAATGGATTATTTTTAGTCTACAGGTCGTTAGAATCCTTTCCGCTCTTGAAACCCCTCATGGATTATATTTTAGCCGGAAGTTGACATGCAGTTTCTCGTACAAAAGGAAAACGAGAAGGGTGTATATTACAGTAAGGGTATAGCTTTACATCTATATCGGTATAAAGGAGCCTGGAAATCAACTTCGATCAGACTAATGTCAGGGGTTCATCGACTCCCCCGAGCTCCTCGTCGTTTCACAAAAGTTCTTTGGGATCGGTCGGATCTGGGAAAGTCTCAATTATCAAGCCGTTCTGATTTCATAGCGGCTTTCAAACAATTCTGTCGAATAAAGCACTTTCGGATTTACTGAAGAGAAGTATTTTTCACCAAAAGTAGTAGATGGATCTTAATGATAGAACCGCAAGAATTAAGCAATGCATAAAAAATGATTATATGTGGTACAAATACGTTATATTTGGACCTATTACTACTAGATAGAAAACACACACACACACACAACAGAACAGAATAACTGAGAAACTTTAGCTAAACCTACGTAGAAACAAATATGTTTTTGGAAAGATGATTTATTAAATATTACATAATAAGTAAATATGCAAGAGGTGTGAACGGAATTTATTGTGTAGGTTAAAAATGTTTGGAGTGGATGATGAGCTTTGGTCTGAGAATCGGTGTACTCATGTTGATCCGGCACAGGGTAACGTACTGGGTCGTAAAAAAATATTTTGGTCATAACTGGGACATAGTTATCTTTCAGCCTACTGATCGCGGAGCCATATTTTCAGCCGGTGAGGTAATCCCATGGCTAAGATGGGATAAATGATTTTTTATTCGATTATAAGGAATAGCATTGGGAATGGAATTTAAGGTGTACATCGAGTGAATGGTATGGTTCCTGACCTGCAACTGAGAGGGCTAAACTCAGAGAAGTGATTGGACTACTAACTGGTCACTGGGATCTGAGAAAACATGTACACAACATGGGTACATACATCGATGATTCCATCTGCAAATTATGTAATGAGGAGGAGGAAACAGCCACCCATATCATCTTCGACTGCGAAGCAACAGCTCAACCTAAAATACGAAAAAAACTTAGGGAATAAAATTGTAGCAGCGACAGTCAGTGACCTAATACTTCTAAGGAGAAAAATAGAGTCTCTTGCACTGAACTAAGGAACTAAGAAGATACACTAATCCAGAACGCTGCAGTACCTGGGCAGTACAAACCATGCTTCCTAGTATCCTTATGACCATACCATACCATGGTTCCTGACAAATAATGGGATCATTTAATATTATAATGAGGACATCTGATGGTTGAGTTCTTTGCAGCCCTGACTTGTTCTAGTCAATAAGTTATTATGGGTGCAAGTAGAGCTGTACACTCTTTTTTTGTTCTATAGCATCAATTTAGAACGGTTGGAGAATTAGGCTTTTTGGAGATGTACTTTTATATATTCTTCAAGTTTTAATCGAGTATGTGTGGCCCAGTTTAACTTTTGATCCAAGTTACCTTCGTAGTTTCTCGAGGTTTGTCGAAGAAGACTGGAGGAAGGTTTGTTTGTTTAAGGTGACTATATGGTAGGTTTTTTTAGTAACATTGATTCTTCAAGCTTGAAGCCGTGGTTCATGGGCTGGAGCGGGAGAATAATCAGGGATGAATCGTCCAATGCAAAATTTATGGTATACCGGTGAAGGGGAAGGTCAATAGTGAAGAATATTGGATTACTAATATTTGAAGCCAACTGCTTGAGAAATGTCCAAGAAGACATCCGGACAGACCTACTTTAACTCAAGCTTTGTAGCGATGATGTCTATGGTGAAAAGTGACGCTCGGACAGGCAAGATTGAATGAGTTGAAAAGGAGAATTCTTGTAAGGTGCCAACTGCTTGAAAGATGTCCACGTAGACACCCGGAAAGACTGCCTTCAACTCAAGAATCGTCGAGAAAATGTCTACAACACAATGAGCTTAGTGTGTTGTGAAATGTGGCGATAAGTAATATTTGAGAATGGGGCTGAAGAAAATATTATTGTAAGTTTCCACAGCGGGCGAGCACTAATTGCTTGAAAGATGTCTGAAACCTAACGCGTTTGATGTGTAGTGAAACGTGGCGGTCGGATAGGTAAGGTTTGAAAATGAGGTAATAGAATAAAGTATTCTTGTAAGTTTCCACGGGAAATCCAAGAGCCAAATGCTTAAATATGTCTCGATAGATGCCTAGATACTAAGGTACTAATTTAAGAGTGGTTAGCTATAGTGCCAACAACACGAAGGGCTTGGTATATCAAAGAAAGTGATTATCGAATAATGGTTTGCAGTTGGATAAGGAGATTTTCGAGTGACCTGTGTTATTGCACTTATGATTTCAGCTGCCCTCGCTAATTAATCTGTAGCAGCTGATTAGTGCTCTGACCTTAACCTCAATGTGAAGTGGTGTGTTATTGGTTATGGTTTCAAGTGCTAGGGTGGGTGTAGTTGAAAATGCTCCTGTCATCATCAAAAAACCTAGTTTTTGAAGTGACCTTAATTTATTACTATTCCCATTGTTTTCTAGACCTTTCCAGCATACTAAGGCTGCGAAAAAATCTAGGAAGAATAATTGCAGTATATAGCCATTTGACTACACATGGTTTGATGCCCCATGTTTTACCGACAATTCTCCTACATTGTACCATTGATATAGTGCCTTTCCTGTATATGTTGTTAATATGACCTTTCCAATCAAGTTTCCTGTCAAGTGCCACACCAAGGAATTTGACTGAATCCACTAATTTTAATTCTATGCCCTGAAATTTAGGGTTTTTAAAATTACCTAATGTTCTGCTGCTAAACATTATCAATTCTAGCTTAGCAGGATTAATTGATAAACCTTTGTCACAACAACACACATAAAGCAATCCCATAGCGTTTTCCATCAGTAGTGAGAGTCAGGGGATCCCTCCCTGTGAGCATTATGGTACCATCATCTGAAAATAATTGACTGCAGAAACCTGAATTATTCAGAAGTTATATTAAGCTGTTTACTGTAATTAGCCATAAAAGAGGTGACAAACAGCCTCTTTGTGGACAGTTGGATAAGGAAGAAGAATTTTTTGCTGGAGCATTTTTTCAAGAAAGGGAAGCAGGTTGATAAGACGGTAGGAAGGTTATTAGCAATTTGAAATTGGTGGAACTTTGGAATAAATAAAATCGAACTATTCCGTATGAAAAAAAAAGTATTATTCAATCTTTCCGATTAATGTATCAAATAGGAGTTGAGTTACCCTCAAGAATTACAACGAAGTTTATGAAAATTTAAACTATCAATTGAACAGAAGGTTAAAAATCATAAAACGTTTTCTTTTTCAATGAACTTTTTTTTTAAAAATGACACGATACAGATTCAATCACGTCCAAAGTTCTATTTTAGCTGAATTTGACTAATGACATTTTAGTTTGTTCAGCTTCATCATGCTGTTGCCAACTTGCCAGCTGTAATGTGCAAAATTAAAAATGCTAGATAATTTGGCAAGGTCCGCCCTGGCGATTAACGCATTACCGAATGGGAACCCATTACAAAAATACGTTAGCAATCAAATTGAACAATTTATCAAGCTAATTGAATTAATTTTATTTTAAACTAACGTTATTTGTTTCAATTATATTTCACTTAAACAGGATAAACTCAACAAGTATGCATATATAATTATTGGCTTAACGGCTTAAGGATTAAAGTATTCAATATATATATATAATCAACCCATTTCAAAAATTTAAAATCCAGCGAAAAAATGAAAAAAAGGAGAGGGCTAAACAAAATTTAAAACAGCACGTAGAAGTATAAAACTTACTACGTAAAATAACAAATTGTAAACAACAAAATCAATATACAAACATGCAACGAACCCGTTAGTGAACTTGGCAACTGGAATTACCACAAGAAAGATAACGCAATGTTAAAAAAAAGGGGGGCCGTCAAATAATGGTAGTTCAAGAACAATCCAATGTTACCCAAACTGAATAATAGAAAGTTAATGAAAGGCTAGGAAGATATTTTTGGAATAGATTAGCCAGTTTTTTAATGACGTAATATCGGCGACG